AATATACAAAAATCAAGAAAACTCCTTGCCTTTTAAAAACAATTTCCTCCAAAATAAAAGCAAGTTATATATTTATAACTTGTTAATAACAAAAAAATTAATGAGTAACAAAATAGCATCAGTGAGCACCCAGTCTTTTGAAAAAGGAAACTATTTAGTCAAAAATAAATTATGTTGTTTGAGCTATATTTTTATTTCATTTGTAACAGACCCCTAGACCTTTAGGTCTCCCAGGCCTTAGCACAACTGACTCCATGACAGAAGTACCATTCATGCCGTAAAACTCAGAAAGTAGACAGTACTATCAGCCAAATGAAAACAAAGACTTAATCCATCAAAGTCCATAGTTCTGGGAAAGTTGCTAAATGTACTAACCTTGATTTTTGGCTTCTGTAGTTCTGCTTCTGGCTAACTGTTCTTGGTAACTGAAGTGAGTCAACACAGGATCTGTTTTTGTGCTTAAAAGCTCAACCTGAGAAAGGCTCAGTGCTACACTGGGATCCTGAACACTCAGTGTAGTTGCTGGTTGGCTAATAAAGACTTTCTATTGGCTTAACCATGGCTGTACAGTCTTCTATGGTGGATATCTCACAACACATTTTTATTGATTTCCTGTGTGTGTGTGTTTGTGTGTGTGTGTGTGTTGCGCATTTATGTGGTGTAGAAATATAGATGCATGCATGCCATGATATATATAATTATATATATATGGAAGTCAGAACATTATAAGGAGGAGCTTGGAGGTCTCTGTGCTCACAGACATGCACTAACCTGGAATGTTAAACACACATGGCTGTTCTTTCAACAGAAGGAATGCAAAGCCTGTCTTCTTCCCAGAGGCTGGAGTGCATGTGCTTTCTAGCCTGCTGACTGTTGGGCAATATGTGTGGTTGAAGACTTCTCGGATGGGACCCTCCTCCCAGACCCAGTCTCGTAAACTTGTTTCTCAGTCAGTCTGTACAACCTGTCTTTATGGAAGGTGTCACATGCACTTTATTTGTTTTGTTTTGTTTTTGCTTTTTCAAGACAGGATTTCTCTGTATAGCCCTGGAACTCACTTTGTAGAGCAGGCTGGCCTCGAACTAAAAAATCCACCTGCCTCTGCCTCCCAAGTGCTGGGATTAAAGGCATGTGCCACCACCGCCCGGCACATTCACATGCACTTTATAAAGCACTTAGATGTAGTCACGTCTGATCTGTATTCAGCTGACTTTGTTCCTCATAGAGATTAGGTATGCTTTGTTGTGTACATGGGACTGAGTTGACCATCCAAGAATAGTTTGTACCAGACTGTGCTGTATTTAAAGACGCCTGAAACAATCAACTCTTGAAGCCTGGACTAACACTAGCTACTGAGTAGTTTTTAAGCTGAATGCATTTCTTGCCTCCCAAAGCTGCACCTACTTCTCTTCTGCCCATCTCAGGCTGTAGTCATCTTTATTAACCAATCAGGGATAACTTGAGGGGCAAGGTTTATGCAACAAAAGCTGGCATAGGTGGGAATTAGCTCATCTTGGGGCAACCAGATCTTGGAATACAGTATTTAGCATTTGGTACATAGCAGCACGAGACCAACCCCAACAAATTCTGGCTGGCTGGCTCAACTTAGCTGTTCTTGCTCAAGCTTCTCTCCAAACTGACTGATTCAAACTGGCTTCTCTCTTAGCCTCTGACAGTGCCAAGCCTCAGCTCTTCTCCATGACCCCTTCATGCCTTTAAAATCAATCTACTTAGGTGACTTACACATTACCAAGTCTGCTGCCAGCACAATCTCTCTCTCTCTGGAACACAGCTTCTTTGTGCTTTCAGAAAATACTTCACAGATTTCACCTCAGTGATGCTGGTCTCCTCTTAATCACCACTAATTTCTTAGCTCCAGCTGACCAGCATCAATTGTCCCAGTAGTCTCTTCTATTCTTGAGTCTAAAGCCAGAGCCACATGGCCAAAGCTGCCGAGTTCTGCAGCTTGCTGAGGTGGAAGATTGCTCCCTTGTTCTATCACATCTTACTCAGAGATGTGTGCCACTGTCTCCTGGGATTAAAAGTATGTCTGTATTCCAATTGGATCACACAGACCTACACAATTTTTGGATGTAACCCTTTGCCAGAGCAGCCATGTTGCTGGATTAAAGTTCCTCTATACAAATATGCTTATTTTAGTCAGGCAAACATTCCCTATAATTCCATGCTAATACAAAAGCTAAACAAACATCTCACCAAGTGGAGAACTTGGGCAGGAAATGCTGCAGGCTTCCATTGGGGAATCTTTCTGGGAAGGATGCTTTGGGAGTTTAACTGGCTCTACCCACGTCAGCCATGAAGTCTTTCAGCATTGGCAGGCTGGAAGGAAGGAAGGCACTAATGGAGGACCAGAAGGTCGTTGAGAGCATAGGCCAACGGCGAGCACTGATAGGAGAGACTGTGCCAGGAGTGGAAGTCCGGAGGTCATGGAAACCCTTGTGAGCCGATCTCCAGTCATCTCATCTATGGTTATCAATGCAGATGTTAGAGAAGCCACACCTGGAGAGTGCTGGATCGAGATCCTAGAGACTAACCATCTCCAAAGTTCTGGTGTTTGTATCATTTCATTGAGCGGTAGCTTCGTGCTTTCAGGGTTCATAGGCTGGTGATGGTTTACTAACATATCAGTGCCACCTTGGGGTTGGGTTGTTACATACGGAGGCCTGCCTTGGGCTTGGCTCCTACCTGAGCTGGTGGTTGGTGAAAAATTATTTCTCTACCAGTGAAATGAGCCAAGTCAAGCCAGATTAGGTTATATTAAACGCAGGTTTATTGGGAAGCTGTTCTAAGGTGAGGTTACTGGCCCCAAGGACTGAGGCCAGGGGAGTCACCCTGAGATGGAGGCCAGGAGACTTTTGACTGAGGAGAGAGAGAGAGAAGGGAGTTGGGAGTGAGAAAGGGCGTGCACACAAAGAGAGAGGAGAGAAGAAGAGAGAGAAGGGAGAGGAAGACCAAAATCTCTGGATTTTATAGGGAAGGGCTCTCAGGGGAGGGTAGCCCAGTCCTTCCGCTGGAAAGTTCAAGGTTGGGGACATGGTATGCCAGGTAGGGACTGAAGGATGCTGGGAGAACCTGGAGGTCAGGTCTGCTTTGATATGTAAAATATTCACTTCAGTCCCTTGTCTGGGGTTGGGAAACCAAACATCTGGGTCTACTGACACTTGGAGCTTGGTTTTGAGGCACTGCTCCGATCAGAGCTTCCTGCTGGCAAGCTCCTATCTTACAGGTATTATATTCCAAGTTACACAAAATGGATTTTAAGGTACACAAAATGTTTGCACTTATGTTCCTGACAGATTTGTTTTGATTGAGATAAGATCCCACTGACCTGGTACTCTGTCTACCAGGCTAGCCCGGAACCCACAGCCTTCAGACTGCTGGGATTAAAATCATAGCCAGTATGGTCTCAGCATATTCCTTTAAAAAAAAAAACTTATTTATTAAATGTTTTAAGATTTATTTTGTTTTTTGTCTATGAATGTTTTGCCTTCATAAGTATACGCACCATATGTGTGCCCACAGAAGTCAGAAAAAGGTGATGGATCTTTTAGAACTGGAGTTACAGAGTGTTGTAAGCCACCATGTGGGTGCTGGGGACTGACCCTGGGATCTCTACCAGAGCAAGAAAGCTCTCTCAACTGCCAAGACAACTCTCCAGTCCCCAGTCTCAGCATTTTTTAAACAACTGTGAAGCCAACATTGTCACACACTGTTACTAAGTCTCCATACTTAAGGTGCAAGTCTCTTACACTTTACAAGAACAGGTTTGTTTCCTGCAAACCATGTTTTTCAACTTATGCTGAACTTGCGACCCCATGATGTACACCCACTCCTTTGTCTTGCTAAATTCCTGAGCACCTGTGAGGACTCCCTTTCCACATGTGTTCTTGCATTTATCTACCCCACAGGCAGCCTTGAACCCCAAGTCGCCCACTCTCCTGTTCAGGTGCTAACGACACTAACAGTCAATTATCTTGGACAGCTGTTTTCTAGTAACCCTAACATGTTCCCATATAAGACACCTCAAAAGCCAGTAAGGGGCTGCTCTCCAAAATCTCTTTGGGAGGCCTTGGGAGACACAGCTGGCTGGCCAGTTCTAGATACAACTTGCTTTAATCAGCCAGTCGTGGAATTGGTGTTTTTCCCCCTCAGATCTAACGTAACCATAAATATTATGTTAATTATCTATTTCCATGTTTCTCTTTGGAAGTCCTAGCGGCCTTATTGCTGCTATAGAGCTGCAGGCACATAGTACTTTGTCTCAAGAGGTTGGCAGGGAAAAGCAAAAGCCAAACTTACAAATGCTTTCGTAATTTATCTTCCCCGAGTGTACAGGATACCCATCAGTCTACAAACACAAGGTCAGCACAGCTGTACTGGCCCAGGCTTTTTTGTTTCTTGATATCTCATGGTTTGGTTTATGGGCGTGTTGTTGTTTCTCAGTTGTTTACTAACACAACAGCTGTCAATTTTGCCGTCAGCCGGAAGCAGAGATGGAATAACTTATCTCGTTTAACCTTACTAAAACCTTTTTCTTTTCTGAGCGTCGTTGCTCACGCCTTTAGTCACAGCACTCAGAGACAGGGAGCAGGATCTCTCAGTGAGTTCGAGACCGGCCTGGTCTACATAGTAGGTTCCCAGATACGCAGAACGACATAGTGAGACACTGTCTTAAAAACAAACAAGCAAACAAAAAACGTTTAAAAGGAAAGAAGAAAACCGGCCTGGAGAGGCGACAAGAGGAATTCCTTTGGTCCACAGAGCTTGGCGCCTTGCCTCCCCGCCTAGCGGGTTTACCGCCTCACTCCTTACCCTCCCCCTCCCAACCCTGTTCCTTCCAAACAATTTAAATGTCGCACAGAACCAACCTATGGCAAGCCTCGTTCTAGGGGAAGGGGCGGGAGCTTCCGGAAGTGTTGGCAAAAGTCCCTCCAATCAGCGCCTAGCAGCGGGAAGTTTCAGTTCGGCGGAGACGAAGAAGGTCCGGGTGTTTCGTCTGCGGATCTGTGGTGTTTTCTGTGTTGCGGCATTGTTGTGGATCTAGAAATTGCTTCAGGTAAGTGGGATCTAGAGTTCAAGGGTATAGGTGGCTGCATACCAGTTCGAGAATGGCCTGGGCTACATGAGGCGCTGTCCCCAAAAAATTTAAAAATGGCCTAGATGAGATGGCTCAACAGTTAGGAGCACTTGTTGTTTTTGCAGAGTTAGCTTCCCATCACCCCACGTTAGGCAGGTCACAAGCTCCTTTAGCTCCAGCCTCAAGAAGTCCGACACCCTCTTCTGGACGCCAGTATGCATCTACCCACACACAGAGATAAACATACATAGACAACAAAAAAGCCTTTGGAAAAAAATTGGCATGAAAAATGTAGACTATCCTAAAGCATTGACAGCGTATTAGAGATGAGACCCTACCTGACCTGTATGCTAATAACCTCTCAAAAGAGCCCAGAAGTGGCAGCGGATTCTGCTATTCCTGAAGACGCTGTAATTTCTTCTTAACCTCCTGTAAGTTTTTTTTTTTTTTTTTTTTTTTTTTTTTTTTTTTTTTTTCGAGACAGGGTTTCTCTGTATAGCCCTGGCTGTCCTGGAACTCACTCTGTAGACCAGGCTGGCCTCGAACTCAGAAATCCGCCTGCCTCTGCCTCCCAAGTGCTGGGATTAAAGGCGTGTGCCACCACCGCCCGGCTCCTCCTGTAAGTATTAAACTGAGAATCTTACGATGAGAGGGCAAGCAGGGTAGCTGGCGTGAGAGGTAGGTACATTTGACCATCACCATGACACCAGTTAGAGTCATCAGAGAGGAAGGAGCCTCAGTTGAGGAAATACCTCCATGAGGTCCAGCTATAAGGCATTTTCTTAATTGGTGATGAATGAGAGAGAGCCTAGCGAATTGTGGGTGGATGTCCTTGGTTCTGTAAGAAAGTGGAACAAGCCAATAAGAAGAATCACTCAGTGGCCGCTGCACCAACTCCTCCTCCAGGTTCCAGCCCTGCTTGAATTTCTGTCCTGATTTCCTTTGATGATAAACAGCAATTAAGTGTAAACAGAATAAACCCTTTCCTCCCCAACTTGTTTTTTGGTCATGGTGTTTTGTTGCAGCAACTGTCTGAGACAACTGTATTACTAAGTTTTTCTTAAACTCTTTCTCTAGTAGTTGTGTTCAGCTTGTTTTCTTTCTTTCTTTTTGGTGGGGAGAGGATTAAAGCAAAGTTTCACATAGTTCCCACCAGCCTCCTTTGGAGCTGAGACTGACTGTGAGCAGGACCTCTTGTTTTGGTTTTCCGATTGTGGTCTTGCTGTATTTAACAGGCTAGCTGTAGCCAGGTGCTAGAGTCAGGAGTGTATTCATCACAGTAGGGTGATGCTGGAATGAAGGGTATAGGTGGGTTTCAAACCATATGCACTGTGTAGCCCAATCTGGCTTTGAACTCTATTGAGCCTTCTTGTCAGCCTCCCAGTCGCTTTTGTTAGGGGTGTGTGTGCGCACGCATCCGTGTTAGATGTGTGTTGGTGCTGGTGTGTGTGCATGCTGGCATGTATGTGGAGGCCAGAGGCCAATGGCAGGCATCTCCCTTATTGCTTGCTGCCTTATTTTCTTGAGACAGAGCTTTTCCCTAAAGCTGGAGCTGCCTGGCTGAGCTAGGCTAGCAGAAGAACCCGAGGAACTGCCTGTCTCTGCCCTGGCCAGCACTGGCATTCCTGCAGTGCTGTGCCCTGTCTCACAAGTGTTAGAGATCAGCTTGGTGGTACAGCAGGACTTAATGACTGGGCCAGCTCCCCAGACCAGGGAAAGCTTAAGGATTTCTGTAATGTAGCTGTTTGCTTTCTCTGTTTCCACTTACGTCTGTATTCCAGATTATAGTTTTTCTCTGCTTCAGTTTAATCTGTTGAGCAGCTTCCTACTCACGGCCCCCCGAATAGGCCATCTGTCTGTGATGACTTTTCTACTTTCATATTTACTCATATTTATTCTGGTGTAAATTTCACTATTTTCATTTCAAGGGAGTGCAGAGTGGTATAGGAGATAGACTAAAGTTTGTTTGTTTGTTTTTTGATATTTTATTTACATTTCAGATGGTATCCCCTTACCCAATTCCTCCCATCCCATCCCCCTTCCTCCTGCTTCTATGAGGGTGTTCCCCCTCCCACCTCCCCACCCTCAAATTATCCCACACTCAGCATCCAGCCTTCATGGGACCAAGGATCTCCTCTCCCACCTATGCCCAACAAGGCCATCCTCCCCTACATACACAGCTGAAACCATGGATCCCTCCCTAAGTGCTCCCAGGCTGGTGGTTTAGACCGTGGGAGCTCTGGTTGGTTGGTATTGTTGCTCTCCTCATGGGGCCACAAACCCTTTCAGCTCCTTCAGTCTTCTCTCTAACTCCTCCATTGGGAACCCCATAATCAGTTCAATGGTTAGCTGTGATCATCTGCCTCTGAATATGTCAGGCTCTGACAGACCTCTAAGTTCACAGCTATGTCAGGCTCCTGTCAGCATGCACTTCCTGACATCCACATCAGTGTCTACCTTTGGTGACTGCACATGGGATGGATACCCAGGTGGAATGGTCTCCAGACAGCCCCTCCTTCAGTTTCTGCCCCACACTTTGTCTCCATATTTGCTCCCTTGAGTATTTTGTTACTCCTTCTAAGAAGGACAGAAGCACCCCCACTTGGCCTTCCTTCTTCATGAGCTTCATGTGGCCTGTGAGTTGAATCTTAGATATTGGGAGCTTCCAGGCTAATATCCAATTATCAGTGAGTGTATATACCATGTGTGTTCTTTTGTGATTGGCTTACTTCACTCAGGATGATATTTTCTAGTTCCATCCATTTACCTAAGAATTTCTCTAATTCATTGTTTTTAATAGCTGAGTAATATTCCATTGTGTAAATGTACCACATTTTTTGTATCCATTCCTCTGTTGAAGGACATCTGGGTTCTTTCCAGCTTCTGGCTATTATAAATAAGGCTGCTATGAACATAGTGGAACATATGTCCTTGTTATATGTTAGAGCATCTTCTGGGTATATGCCCAGGAGTGGTATAGCTGGGTCCTCAGGTAATGCTATGTCCAATTTTCTGAGGAACCGCCAGACTGATTTCCAAAGTGGTTACACCATCTTGCAATCCCACCAACAATGGATGAGTGTTCCTCTTTCTCCACATCCTTGCCAGCATCTACTATCACCTGAGTTTTTGATCTTAGCCATTCTGACCGGTGTGATGTGGAATCTCAGGGTTGTTTTGATTTGCATTTCCCTGATGACTAAGGATGCTGAACATTTCTTTAGGTGCTTCTTGACCATTCGAGTTTCCTCAGTTGAGAATTCTTGTTGGTTTTTTCGAGACAGGGTTTCTCTGTATAGTCCTGGCTGTCCTGGAACTCACTCTGTAGACCAGGCTGGCCTCGAACTCAGAAATCTGCCTGCCTCTGCCTCCCAAGTGCTGGGATCAAAGGTGTGCGCCACCACCGCCTGGCAAAATGATCTGCATCTTCTTTTTTTTTTTTTTTTTTTTTAAGATTTATTTATTTTACGTATATGAGTACACTATTGCTCTCTTCAGACACACCAGAAGAGGGCATCGGATCCCATTACAGATGGTTGTGAGCCACCATGTGGTTGCTGGGAATTGAACTCAGGACCTCTGGAAGAGCAGTCAGTGCTCTTAACCGCTGAGCCATCTCTCCAGCGAGAATTCTTTGTTTAGCTCTGTACCCCATTTTTAATAGGGTTATTTAGTTGTCTGGAGTCTAATTTCTTGAGTTCTTTGTATATATTGGATATTAAGCCTCTATCGGATGTAGGATTGGTAAAGATCTTTTCCCAATCTGTTGGTTGCCATTTTGTTCTATTGACAGTGTCCTTTGCTTTACAGAAACTCTGCAATTTTATGAGGTCCCATTTGTCAATTCTTGATCTTAGAGCATAAGCCATTGGTGTTCTGTTCAGGAACTTTTCCCCTGTGCCTAGGTATTAGAGGGTCTTCCCCACCTTCTCTTCTATTAGTTTCAGTGTATCCGGTTTTATATGAAGGTCCTTTATCCACCTGGACTTGAGCTTTGTACAAGGAGATAAGAATGGGTCTATTTGCATTCTTCTACATGTTGTCCTCCAGTTGAACCAGCACCATTTGTTGAAAACGCTGTCCTTTTTCCACTGGACAGTTTTAGCTCCTTTGTCAAAGATCAAATGACCATAGTTGTGTGGGTTCATCTGGATCTTCCATTCTATTCCATTGATCTTCTTGTCTGTCTCTGTTCCAATACCATGGCGTTTTTATCACTGTTGCTCTGTAGTACAGTTTGAGGTCAGGAATGGTGATTCCTCCAGAAGTTCTTTTATTGTTGAGAATAGTTTTTGCTATCCTGGGTTTTTTATTATTCCAAATGAATTTGCAAATTGCTCTTTTTATCTCTATGAAGAATTGATTTGGAATTTTGATGGGGATTGCATTGATTCTGTAGATTGCTTTTGGCAAGGTGCCCATTTTTACTATATTAATCCTGCCAATCTATGAGCATGGGAGATCTTTCCATCTTCTGAGATCTTTGATTTCTTTCTTCAGAGACTTGAAGTTCTTGTCATACAGATCTTTCACTTGCTTGGTTAGATTCACGCCAAGGTATTTTATACTATTTGTGACTATTGTGAAGGGTGTCATTTCTCTAATTTCTTTCTCAGCCTGTTTATCTTTCGAGTAGAGGAAGGCTACTGATTTGTTTTGAGTTGATTTTATATCCAGCCACTTTGCTGAAGTTGTTTATTGGGTTTGGGAGTTCTCTGGTGGAAGTTTTAGGGTCACTTAAGTATACTATCACATCATCTGCAAATAGTGATATTTTGACTTCTTCCTTTCCTGTTTGTATCCATTTGACTTTCTTTTGTTGTCTAATTGCTCTGCTAGGACTTCCAGTACTATATTGAATAGGTAGGGTGAGAGTGGGCAGCCTTGTCTGGTCCCTGATTTTAGTGGGATTGCTTCAGGTTTCTCTCCATTTAGTTTGATGTTGGCTACTGGTTTGCTGTATATTGCTTTTACTATGTTTAGGTATGGGCCTTGAATTCCTGATCTTTCCAAGACTTTTAACATGAAGAGATGTTGAATTTTGTCAAATGCTTTCTCAGCATCTAGTGAGATGGTCGTGTGGGGTTTTTTATTGAGTTTATTTATATACTGGATTACATTAATGGATTTTCGTGTATTGAACCATCCCTACATTCCTAGGATAAAGCCAACTGGATCGTGATGGATGATTGTTTTGATGTGTTCTTGGATTTTGTTTGCAAGAAATGTATTGTGTATTTTTGCATCGATAGTCATAATGGAGATTGGCCTGAAATTCTCTTTTTGGATCTTTTTGTGGTTAACGTATGAATGTAATTCTGGCTTCATAGAACGAATTGGGTAGTGTTCCTTCTGTTTCTATTTTGTAGAATAAAGAGAATTGGTATTAGGTCTTCCTTGAAGGCCTGATAGAATTCTGCACTAAAACCATCTAGTCCTGGACTTTTTTTGGTGGGGAGACTTTTAATGACTGCTGCTGTTTCTTTAGGGGTTATGGGACCGTTTAGATGGTTTATTTGCTCCTGATTTAACTTTGGTACCTGGTATCTGTCTAGAAAATTGTCCATTTCATCCAGATTTTCCAGTTTTGTTGAGTATAGGCCTTTGTAGTAGGATCTGATGATTTTTTAATTTCCTCAGTTTCTGTTGTTGTGTCTCCCTTTTCAGTTCTGATTTTGTTAATTTGGATACAGTCTCTGTGCCCTCTGGTTAGTCTAGCTAAGGGTTTATCTATCTTGTTGATTTTCTCAAAGAACCAGCTCCTGGTTTTGTTGATACTTTGTATAGTTCTTTCTGTTTCTACTAGGTTGATTTCAGCCCTGAGTTTGATTATTTCCTGCCGTCTACTCCTCTTAGGTGTGTTTGCTTCCTTTTGTTCTAGAGCTTTTAGGTGTGCTGTCAAGTTGTTAGTGTATGCTTTCTCCAGTTTCTTTTTGTAGGCACTTATCTGATAGGATGCAAGGGATTGTTTCAATCTTTTTGTATCTGTTGAGGCCTGTTTTGTGACCAATTATATGGTCTATTTTGGAGAAGGTACCATGAGGTGCTGAGAAAAAGGTATATTCTTTTGTTTTAGGATGAGATGTTCTATAGATATTGGTTAAATCCATTTGGTTCATAACTTAATTTCATTGTGTCTCTGTTTAGTTTCTGTTTCCATGATCTGCCCATTGCTGAGAGTGGGCTGTTGAAATCCCCCACTATTATTGTGTGAGGTGCAATGTGTGTTTTGAGCTTTAGTAAAGTTTCTTTTATGTATGTAGGTGCCCTTGCATTTGGAGCATAGATGTTCAGAATTGAGAGTTCATCTTGGTAGATTTTTTCCTTTGAGTATGAAGTGTCCTTCCTTATCTTTTTTGATTACTTTTGGTTGAAAGTTGATTTTTAAGCTGGGCAGTGGTGGCGCAAGGAGGATTTCTGAGATCGAGGCCAGCCAGGTCTACAGAGTGAGTTCCAGACAGCCAAGGCTACACAGAGAAACCCTGTCTCGAAAAACCAAAAACCAAAACCAAACAAACAAAAAATTGATTTTATTTGATATTAGAATGGCTACTCCAGCTTGTTTCTTGGGACCATTTGCTTGGAAAATTGTTTTCCATCCTTTTACTCTGAGACAGTGTCTGTCTTTCACTTAGGTGCGTTTCCTGTATGCAGCAAAATTCTCCATCCTGTTTATGTATCCAGTCTGATAGTCTATGTCTTTTTTATTGGAAAATTGAGTCCATTGATGTTAAGAGATATTAAGGAAAAATGATTGTTGCTTCCTGTTATTTTTGTTATTAGAGGTGGAATTATGTTTGTGTAGCTATCTTTTTTTGGGGTTGTTAGAAGATTACTTCCTTGTTTTTTCTAGGTTGTAATTTCCCTCCTTGTGTTGGAGTTTTCTATCAATTATTCTTTGAAGTGCTGGATTTGTGGGAAGATATTGTGTAGATTTGGTTTTGTCATGGAATATCTTGTTTTCTCCATCTATAGTGATTGAGAGTTTTGCTGGGTATAGTAGTAAGGGCTGGCATTTGTGTTCTCTTAAGGTCTGTATGACATCTGTCCAGGATCTTTTGGCTTTTATAGTCTCTGGTGAGAAGTCTGGTGTAATTCTTATAGGTCTGCCTTTATATGTTATTTTACCTTTTTCCCTTACTGCTTTTCGTATTTTTTCTTTGTTTTATACATTTGTTTTATGTGACGGGAGGTATTTCTTTTCTGGTCTAGTCTATTTGGAGTTCTGTAGGCTTCTTGTATGTTCGTGGACATCTCTTTCTTTAAGTTAGGGAAGTTTTCCTCTATAATTTTGTTGAAGATATTTACTGGCCCTTTAAGTTGGGAATCTTCACTCTCATCTATACCTATTATTCTTAGGTTTGGTCTTCTCATTGTGTTCTGGATTTCCTGGATGTTTTGGGTTAGGAGTTTTTGCATTTTGCATTTTCTTTGACAGTTGTTTTCCATGGTATCTTCTGCACATGAGATTCTCTCTTCTATTTCTTGTATTCTGTTGGTGATGCTTGCATCTATGACTCCTGATCTCTTTCCTAGGTTTTCTATCTCCATGGTTGTCTCCCTTTGAGATTTCTTTATTGTTTCTACTTCCATTTTTAGATCCTGGATGGTTATGCACCTGTTTGGTTGTGTTTTCTTGCAATTCTTTAAGAGATTTTTGTGTTTCCTCTTTAAGGGCTTCTACCTGTTTACCTGTATTCCTCTGTACTTCTTTAAGGGAGTTATTTATGTCCTTAAAGTCCTCTATCATCATCATCATGAGAAGTGATTTTAATTCTGAATCCTGCTTTTCCAGTGTGATGGGATGTCCAGGGTTTGCTATGGTGGGAGAACTGGGTTCTGATGATGCCAAGTAACTTTGATTTCTGTTGCTTATGTTGCTTGCCTTTCGCCATCTGGTTAACTCTAATGCTACCTGCACTCACTGTCTCTGACTGGAGCCTGTCTTTCCAGTTATCTTGCTTGTGTCAGAACTCCTCAGAGTCCTGATGTCTCTGTGATCCTGTCATCCTGAGCACCTGGGTGGAAGAACTCCTGGGTCTCAGGCCGCCTCTGAAATCCTGAAATCCTGCTGCTCTGAGTGCAGTGGTTCCTCTAGGATGGCTCAGGATATGGTGTCTTCACAGGAGCAGACCAGCTAGGTATCTGCCCCAGCCAAAAGGATCCCCAAGCAAGGGGCGGAAGGGGAAGACTAAAGTTTTGATTTGTTGTTGTTGTTGTTGGTGGTTTTTTTTTCTTTTCTTTTTTTTTTTTTGGTTTTTCAAGGCAGGATTTCTCTGTGTAGCCCTGACTGGCCTGGAACTCACTCTGTAAAATCCACCTGCCTCTGCCTCCCAAGTGCTAGGATTAAAGGCATGTGCCATCACTGTTGGTTGATTGTTTTCATTAGTTTACTTATTTTGCTCTTTGAGGGAATGTTTTATTTATTCTTTAGCCCAAGCTGTCCTCAAGTTCACACGATTTGCTCGCCTGTGCTGGTGGTAGAGTGATGAGCCACCACAGCCTGACCCGAGATTTTGATTTTTTTTTAAATAATAAAATGTAAATTCATTTATGTTGGTGTTTGTTTCTCGTCTTTGGCAGGATGCCGGTGTCACGTTTTGCCAGCCGGCTTCGGAAAGATTCGAGCACTGAAATGATTAGAACTACCTTGGCTCACAGAAAGTCGCTGTCTCAGAAGGAAAACAGACATAGGGTGTATGAACAAAATAGACGCTTTGGTTTGAAGAATGTCAACATTCCACTGGAAGGGAGAGGCCTTGTTAATATACATGAGACATCTCAAGACACTGCTCCAGAAAAGTCCAGCTCCAAAACAAGTAAGCAAGGGTCTTTTGTAAGTGTACTTTTGAGAATCTGGAACGATGGCTCAGCAGTTGAGTGTTGACTGTTCGTGCAGAGGACCTGGGGTCAGTTCCTAGCATGGTAGTTCACAACCGCCTGTAACTCGGGTTTCAGGGGATCAGACTTCACCAGCTCCCACATGGGTGTGGTGCATGTACATCCCCTCAGGCACACCACACACACACATACACATCAGATAAATAGTGAAAGAAAAGCCTGAGAGGGAAGCTAAAGAACTGCACTGATCAAAAGAAATTGTTCTAAATAACTCGGTGAGAACCTTTGACATAAAAATATTTCACCAGTCACTTAGAGAACGATCATTCTTAAACTTTGCCCAAAATGGTTTCGGGCCACAGGGAAAGAACTGAGCAAACAAAAAGTCTCAGAAAAAGATCAAAACAATGAGAATAGTGTCCTAGATGGCCAGAGGAGTTAGAGGGAGAGTTTGTTCTCCTTTTTTTTAGCAAGTGTTGGAACTGAATGTCAGTAATACAGACCAAGTGGAGGAGATGATGTTCTTAGGGTTTGTTTTTTCTCACTCGTCGGAGGGAGTGGAGTGTGGGAGCACAGGGTTTCCTGTGAGCATGTGGAGGGCAGAGAACAACTCTGGAGTTCTGTTCCTTCCACCATTGTGTTGGTTGCAGAGATCAAACTCATGTTGTTAGGATTGTTTAGCATGGACTTTAATCACTGAGCTTTCTTCCTGGCCCCTAGAAGTTTTGTTTTACAGTTTTTACAATCAATGTGGCGTGCCCATCCAGTGCATTTGAACCTGGTTTTGTAATGGCTGCTGTCGGGGCTGAAAGATGATAGTCTGTACCACCAAGGCCGGCTTCCTACAGATTTATCCTTCTAACGATTCTGAGGAAACATGAGGGACAAAAACTGGACAAACAGTTGCAGGTTTCTGTGCTTCTGACCTGGTGTGAATAGTGTGGTGGTGTGGAGAGGGAAAGTCCCAGCCTGTCTAGGGAGTTGGCAGGAAAAAGGTCTGGAGTCAGAGTTCTGATAGAATGACTGGTTTTGTTCTGTTTTGTTTTTCAATTAAAATGGAATTACCTCCCTTTCCTTCCTCCAGTTCTTCTCAGGTACCATGCCTCCAGACCCTCCAAGTTTCGCTTTCCAATTGATAAATCCCTTTTTAAAAATTATGTACATATGCATGTATGTATTTGTATGGACAAATATTTAAATACAGCCTGCTGCTGGACATGGTGAAGTTATGATGCCTATTAGGCATGTGAGGAGAGATGATAAAGTAATTGAGGGGCCTGACACGGTGGCTCATCCTTTAATCCCAGTACTCAGGAGGCAGGAGCATGTTAAAGCCAGTCAGGGCTGTATAGTGAAATGCTGGCTCAAAAAAGAGGTGATGTGGAAGAAGGAATGGATTCAAAAGAGAGGAAGTATCATCCAGGACATATTCTTACTTTAAAGATGGAGCTTGAGTCTAATGGAACCCTTAGGTGTTATTTCTACCCTATAGAAAGAAAAACATGGGGGTTAGGCATAAGTGAAAAACTTGAAATAAATGAAAACAAGAGCCCATCGAGGGCCTGAGACCCTAATTAGTGCAAGAGCCAATCACAGAAAAGCTTATAAAATTTATGTTGGGGGTGGGGGATTGCCTTCATAAAGAGAATGAAATCTGAAGATCCGTAGGCTTGTGAGGGTCTCAGTCCCAGTTTTGTTACCAAGAGATACATTTGGGCCCAGGAGGTAAAACTGTGGGGTTTGCTCAGATCCTCGTAGTCCCAGTAAAGAAGGTTGTCTTCTTGGGCTTTGTGTGTGAGTGACATTCCTCCCCAAGAATGGCTCTGTTACTGTTTGTATGCAGGGTGTCGGGGGTTTTACTCAGGCCTCAGTCATGCTAGGCAACTAAGCAAGTGCCTTACCATTGAACTATACTCCTGACTCCCAAAAGAACCTTCTGGATTTGGAAATCAGGCCTCAATAGATAGCTCTTTCTGGCCTGGCATTACTAATGCCAGGCTGCCCAAGAAAATTTGGATTCCTCTTGCTTTAGCCTCTCAAGTGATGGATGGTAGCCACATGTCCAAAGATACCCAAAGAATTTTTTAAGCTTGTTGCATATAGGAAAAGGCAAGCCCAATGGCCCTTCCTAAAGTTCTTTGAGTGATTTAGCCTAATCAATGTATCAATATTTTTAAAAAGTTGGGCAAATGAAGTCATACATGCCGGGCGGTGGTGGTGCATGCCTTTAATCCCAGCACTTGGGAGGCAGAGGCAGACAGATTTCTGAGTTCGAGGCCAGCCTGGTCTACAGAGTGAGTTCCAGGACAGCCAAGGCTATACAGAGAAACCCTGTCTCGAAAAACCAAAAAAAAAAAAGAAGTCATACATAATATAATTTCATTATGATTAGAACTCGAAATAACTGTATGAGAGTGTTGAAGATTAAAAGCATTAGCAGATGAAGTTGGACATAGTATGCTGTTAGACAGTTGATGTGGTGTTTTGTCTGAAATGTTTTATGGACTGTTGTTTGACACCACCTCCCCTTAGGGTCGGAGACAGTGGCTCTGAGTGAGCAACGGAAGCAGCTCCTTCAGAAATACAAAGAAGAAAAGCAGCTTCAAAAGTTGAAAGAACAGCGAGAGAAAGCCAAGCGTGGAGTGTTCAAAGTGGGTCTCTACAGGCCTGCTGCACCCGCCTTTCTTGTCACCACAGACCAGAGGGCTGCGAAAGCTGAGCCAGAAAAGGTCCGGTTAGGATTTTAACTCTGGAAAAATCAATACTTAACTTAGCAAGTATCTGTATACCATACATTTTTAAGGATAAAATTTAAATTTTAAACTGAGACACGGAATAAATTTTACCAGTGTGTTTTATGTTTGTTTGTTTAAATTGACCTTCTTTTGGCTATTTAAAGGCTTTTCCATATACTGGGCGGATTACAAGATCAAAGGCCAAGGAGCATATGGAGCAGACTAAGGTATCCTTGTGTATAGATAATTGCTACTAATGATTCCATTTAAAGCCTAAGACCAGGTACAAGCATAGTGACGTATTTATCGGACTTGAAGGTATGGAGATTGGTGATGGCTTAGAGCAGTTGTGGCCAGATGCCAAGGAGGCTGTCACAGCATTCTTGCATAAACACTTCCTGTGTGACCTGTCACGCTGCCGCTTGTGTCTGCGCAGCTGCCATGCTTTCCCAGCTAAGTGCATGAAGTGCAGACAGAGTGGAAATCACCGAGGGGGTGGGGAGGTGGAGGGGAGATACAGTTCTGGCTTCTCTACTACAGCAACAGGGGAAGGCCTGGGAGAGAACAGAGTATGCTACTGGATGAAAGGTTCTTCATCCAGTAAGAACCTAAGTATTGTTTTTAACAGATTGGAGTCACCACCATGATCCTGTGACTTCTCTAGCCCCTGGGCTACATACAGTACTGATCAAAATGCTGAGGCTTTATGAATCTTAGTGGGCCTAGGAATAAAATTGAGGTATATGTAGTATGGCGGGTGGGAGATTACAGTAAGCATTGGCATTGAGTAACATTTTAATTGGAATAGTCAAGGAAACTTTGAGATGCCTATATGTGGGGTATAGTCTCAAAGGAAGTGAATGAACCCTAGGAAAAAATTTTATCTCTAGAAGAAGTATAAAATTGAGGGATTTTTTTGCTATTATTATTTTTTTTTTCTAGCATTGTTGGGAATCACAGAGGCTGGGGATCTGCTTGTTTGGCCTGTTCTCTATCCCTGAGTAAATAACTAGACTGTGGCGCCCAATCCACTGACTGCTCACAGCCACGCATGCGCCTGAGGCAGGGGGTTAGCTTAAGTTCCTGAGTTTGAGGCCAGCCTCACAACACAGCAAGGCCTTATTTTGGGGCAAGAAAGCCACAGTTAATGTTTTTAATTAGTATTTTCAGAATCCTCCAACGAGCAAATAAGGAGAAAAAATTTTCTTTGTTTTTTGAGGCAGGGTCTCACTTTGGTGCTGTGACAGGCCTGGGATTTAGAGAAATCTGCCTGCCTCTTTTCCTGGGTGCTGAGATTGAGGGCATGTTGACATCATGCCTTCTGGCTTTGTTTTTGAGACAAGGTCACACTAGCCCAGATTCTGCTGAAACTCCCTGCTGGTTGAAGCTGGTCTTGAGTTGATGAATTAACAAGCTAAGAGTGTGCTTTGATTTATTATGCAGTTAAATGACAAAGTTTCTAATCTCTTCACAGACTGGTAGCAGGAATGTTCCTCAAGCAACCAAATTTGACCAAAGACAATTTTCTGAAAAAAAACCATTAGACAGAGAGAAGAAAGGTAGGAATATTGACAATGATGATAGAGTTGGTGCAACCCCAGGAATGACTTGGGAGTGACAAAAGGCATCTAATTAGAAGATTTTTTTCTCAGTTGTGCAGCCCATGGTTTCCACGGCAGGGAAAGCGACTGCATCAGGGACTGGATCAGCAGCTACTCAGAGGCCCAAGCAGATGACCCGAACAGTGTCCTCTACCACAAGAAAGCCAGTCACAAGAGCCACTAATGGTAAGAAGAGAAGATTATCTACATGAACATACACAGTAATACATTTTATAAAGAACAAGAAAGAAAAAAGGATCATGGCCCTGAAATATAGTATGTTAATTGTATTAAAAATATTGGAAATACATGCTGAAGTATGAAATTGTTAATGGACTCACAAGTGAGGTGTGTGTGTGTGTGTGTGTGTATGTGTAGGCTACAGGTCAACCGTGGGCATCTTCCTCTGTTACTCTTCACCTTGCTTTTGGAGGTATAGTCTCTCAACCTGGATCTTGAGCGTGCACCTAGACTGGCCAGCCATCAAACTCCAGGGATCCAGCAGTCTTCCCAGCACCGGCTGCAGATGGCTGGCTGGGACCCAGACTCAGGTCCTTGTGTGTACAGTGAACTGCCAGCTAAACTACTGCACCAGGCTACTATTATTAGTTTCTTTCTGGCTGGGCTTTGTTTTGGTTTGGTTTTTTGAGATTTAGTTTTACTTTATGTGTATGGGTTTTAACCTGTGTTTATGTCTGTGTACCACATGTGTACTAGTGCCCATGGCAGCCAGAAGAGGGCGTCTGATCTTCTGGAACTGGAGTTACAGATGATTGTAAACTTCCATGAGGTTGCTGGGACTCAGCCTCTGGAAGCATAGTCCCTGCTCTTTTTTTTGTTTGTTTGTTTGTTTTTTTTTGTTTTGTTTTTTTTTGTTTTGTTTTTGAGACAGGGTTTCTCTGTGTAGCCCTGACTGTCCTAGAACTCACTCTGTAGACCAGGCTAGCCTCGAACTCTCGAACTCAGAAATCCACCTGACTCTGCCTCCCAAGTGCTAGGATTAAAGGTGTGAGCCACCACCGCCTGGCCAGTCCCTGCTCTTAACCTGAGCCATCACTCCAGTTTTTGAGACCGGTTTCTTTGAGACAAGGGCTCACCCTGTAGCTGAGGCTAGCCTGCACTCTTGATCCTGTTGTCTCAAGCTTCCTAGGAAATGCTGAAGTTAGAGGCATGTGCATCTGTTTGTCTGTTAAGGCTGGTTGGTTGGTTTAGTATTGGCAGTAAGATGTGTTGACTTTTTTATAGTAAGTATGTGTTTGGTAATCAGAAAAAGAGAAAAGAAACACTTTTTATTTTGAAAAGATGGTTTATATTTAATGGGACATTTCATTTGTTTCTGTGCCTTTCTAGTGTGACTTGCTGTCATAAAAGTTGAAGACATACGTCCCAGTTTTTGTCTTTCAAACTTTGCCAGGTTATCTGGTACTTTAATACGTGTTATTGACTACCTGTTATAAAGTAAATATGCTACTTTACTTTATTTTCTATTTTAGAGAATGAATCAGAAAGAATGGGACCAAGTAGAGGGAGACCTGCCAAGAAAGCAGAAGGCAAGCTGGACAAGGTAGAGTGCAGGCTTCCGTCATTGCCCAGTGCCTCACCATCACGGTGCTCTATTAGTAAGGCTGAAGTGAAGCATTCAGGCTGCTTCAGAGAGCTAACTACAGACATGCCGAAACCATGGACACTAAGGACGTATCCTGACAGTTACTGACGTGGGTGCTTGGGTGACTTACTCTCAGAGTTGTAAGTAGAGAAAGTGCAATCTGATTAGCAGAGAAATTGGAGACTCTCGAGTAGCACAGCAGAGAGACGGCTTTGTGAGAACTAGTTGGTAGGTCAGATGCTTGGGTTTTGGATTAGGCTGTACTAGAGTATTGTCTGTGCTTCCAATTGGTTGCATGATTTGGGGCATGCTGTGTAATTTGAGTTTATTTTTCCATCTCTAACATGGAATTTACTAGAGTTGTTAAGAGTTCAGTAAGCTAGGGCTTCTGACAGCATCTAGGAATGAGATCCTCAAAGAAAAAAAACAAAACCAAAAAAAAAAAAAAAAACAAATGGGCTTAGCAAAATGGCTCAGCAGGTGAAGATGCTTGCTGCCGAGCCTGATGATCTTAACTTGATCCCCAGAACCCCACATGGGTGGAATGAGACACCCAACTCCTGCAGGTTGGCCTTTGACCTCCACACATAGAAATTTAAAAAAAAAAAAAAGGAACTATTTTGAGTTCCTGGGCTTATGCTATAACTTTAACCTTTTAAGGCAAGCAACAAACGCCCATGCTGCCGGGCGGTGGTGGCACACGCCTTTAATCCAAGCACTTGGGAGGCAGAGGCAGGCGGATTTCTGAGTTCGAGAGTTCGAGGCTAGTCTGGTCTACAGAGTGAGTTCCAGGACAGCCAGGGCTACACAGAGAAACCCTGTCTTGAAAAATCAAACCAAAGACAAAACAAAACAAAAACAAAAAACGCCCATGCTGAATCATAAGAAACCTATCTAGAGACTTACTGAATAGCAAATACAAGTTCTCCAAGGAGAGGAGTGGAGAGTGAGTCTGAGCCAACTGGGTCTTAAAGGAAGAGTTACTAAGAGTTAAGATTTGTTTTTTTTTTTTTTATAGAACCAGGGAGATGACTTAGTGGGTAAAGGTGCTTACCATGAAACCTGATGACCCAGGTTTGATTCCCAGGTCCCACGAGGTGGAAGAGGAGAACCAACACTTGAAAGTTGTGTTCTAACATCCACTCATGGCATGGTGTGCTCTAAGTGTTGGTACTAGTTTTTATTTTCACTGACACGTTGACCTTTGAGATTCTTATCCAGGGTGAAATACTTTGGTTTGAGATCAGGTCTCATTAATAAAGTCAAAACCGTTTTTTAACCATCTAACCATCAAGTAGCATCTAAGTTACCTTGGAAGAATATGCTTTGTATCCTGTTGGTTGATTGCACTGGGTTACATTGAGAACTATTGTCCCTATGATATCATTTATAACCTACAGCTATGTTTAGGTTATTTATTTATTTGTAATGATTTTATGTATATGGGTATTTTGCTTGCATATCTGACTTTGTATCACATGTATGCCTGATGCCTGAGAAGCCAGAAGAGGAATTCAGATCCCCTGGGGTGGAGTTTCAGAAGGTTGTGAGCCTCCATGTGTGTGCTAGGATTTCTGTCCCTGGAAAGGAAGCCAGTGCTCTTAACCACAGGGCCATTGCTCCAGCTCCCACAAGCCAAGGTTCCTTTTCTACAAACGGTTTGGTCCTCTCGAAATGAGTTGGTCAATAATACTAGGTTTCTCATTCTCGAAGCCTTGCGATAATGCATGTAATTTTGATAAAAACATTATTTTGTTAGTTTGATTTTTCCATTGTAGTTTTAATATATTTTTATTTGTTATAATATCTATAAGGTATAGTTTGATAAGGACTGGCTCTGAATTACAGCATTGGTTTAGTACAGCTGACCTTCTGATTCCAAGTATACATTTTTTAAAAGAAAGAATCGGAATTGGAGGCAGTGGTGAGCCACCTGGCAGGGGCTGTGACCCACCCTCTGGTTCTCTGAAGATCAGCAATCATTCTCAAGTACTAAGCAAGTCCCAAGCACTCGTGTAGACATTTTTAAGTGTTTCCATTTTTGTCTCAAATTATGTATGTGGGTGCTCTCTTATGAGCTTTTCCTTTTGGTGACCTGACCAAAGCTACTCAAGGGGGACTGAGTTTGTCCCAGTTCAGGGGTGTAGTCCATTGTAGCTGTGGAATCTTGAGGGAGCTGGTCACATGGAAACAGCAATGGATGCCTGAGCTCAGCTCATTCTGCCCTTTTCACTAAGGTGGCCAGACTGGACCACTTTTGGTGTGGCCAAAAGTTGAATCCTGTTGAATTACAACTGGCACAGCCATCACATTGTCTGATTTGCTTTTGTAGCTGCTCTTGTTATTTCTGTTCCTTGTTAATGGTTGGATGCATTCCTGGGAGAGAAATTCCAACTCTGCTCTGCTTGCTTCTACCTAGGTTATTTCTTCCAAAGTTGAGTGTGAAGAAAAGCATTTGGATCCGCAGACCAGTGCGACAAATGAACCGGATCCGGGCGGAGTCTTCCAAGAAATGGAAAACTTGCCTGAGACAGTCCCTGCAAAAGTGAAAGAAAGGAAGTCCTTTGCCCCCAAGCACTGTGTCTTTCAGCCCCCATGTGGTCTGAAGACCTACCAGATGGCTCCCCTGAGTCCTAGAAGTGCCAGCGCTTTCTTGACACCCAGTTGTGATCAGAAGTGTCTAAGACCAGAAGTGTAAGATATATATTTTTTAAGCAGACACAAATACTAATAGACAAAAATACTCTCAATAATAAGCACTTTCCTCAAAGGGGTAACAAATGCCTTTCTTACATTTCTGCTTTTTTTTTTCTGTACTGTGTTTAGCTAGTAAAGTATGCTAAGTATAAATCACAAAAAAAAATTGTTGAGAAAAGTTCTTCAGAAGCCTACAATAATATCTTTGATAGTTTTGATTATCTTCATTATAAATGTATAGGGTGCAGGGTTTTTCTGTGTATCCCTGGACACCATGGAATTTGCTCTGTAGACTCGGCACCATTGTTAGTGATTTTTGCTCTTAATAGGTGACTTAATTATAATGTGTAAATAATACTTAACTAATTTTTTTACCTTTGTAAAGCGTTATTTTATGTGCATGGATGTTTTGCATTCATGTATGTAAGTGTACCATGTGTGTGCACTGCCCGTGAAGGGCGTTGATCCCCTAACTAGAGTTCCAGGTGATTGTGAGTTGCCTGTGGGTTCTGGGAACTGAACTGAGTCTCTCAGTAAGAGCTGGAAGCGCAAGTACTTGAGACACGTCTCCAGCCCCTTAGTTGTTTTGTTGTTTTTGGGTTTTTCCTTTGTTTGTTTGTTTGTTGTTTTGTTTTTCTGGTGGGGCTGAGATAGCAACTCACTTCGTGGCCTAAGCAGTCTTAGGAAATTATTTTATGATTTTTTTATCCTCTCCACGCCCCCTCTCTGCGTGCGTGCATGAGTGCGTGCGTGTTAGTGCTGGTTCCTATTGAGACTAGAGGTGTCGGGTCTCCCTAGAGCTACAGTCAGAGGCAGTTGTGAGCCTGGCGTGGGTACTGAGAACTTGAGCCTGAGTCATTTGCCAGAGCAGTGAGTCCTCTGAGCCATATGTCTAGCTTCTGCTTACCTCCTGTTTGCCTTTCCTCTCAAAAAACTACCTCTAGTAGCAGAAAATCTGTAAAGTAGGAAGAAGAAGGTTAGTTGGAATCCTCAGAAGAAAAGGCAAAGTTGCCTTGTAAAACTAGACCGGCTGTACATCGTTAGACAAAACTTACAGCGTCCACAGCTGTTGATATTTTTAAAAAATCTTTTATGAAGAGTTTCAACATCTTTAAATCCTTCTGTAACTAGTTTAATAGAGATGCCTTCTCATTATTGTTTAAAATTTTCCTGTCCAGAATAAGCTTTTTTAAATGGTTTTTTAAGACAGGATTTCTTTGTATAGCCCTGGCTATTCTGAAACTTTCTCTGTAGACCAGACTGGCCTTAAACTCACAGAAATCTTCCTGTCTCTGTCTCTAGAGTACTGGGATGCACCACCACGGCCTGGTCAGAATAAGCATTTTTTAAAAGATATGTTTATTTTATTTATATGAGAACACTGTAGCTGTCTTCAGACACACCAGAAAATGGCATCAGATCCCATTACAGATGGTTGTGAGCCACCATGTGACTGCTGGAAATTGAACTCAGGATCTCTGGAAGAGCAGTCAGTGCTCTTAAGTGCTGAGCCATCTCTCCAGCTCCCAGAATAAGCATTTTTGTTTTGTTTTGTTTTGTTTTGTTTTGTTTTGTTTGTTTGTTTTTTGTTTTTTTTGTTTTTTGTTTTTCAAGACAGGGTTTCTCTGTAAAGCCCTGGCTGTCCTGGAACTCACTCTGTAGACCAGGCTAGCCTCGAACTCAGAAATCCACCTGCCTCTGCCTCCCAAGTGCTTGGATTAAAGGCGTGGGCCACCACCGCCTGGCCAGAATAAGCATTTTAAAAGATAGAAAGCCAGGCTGGCTGGTACATCCCTGCAGTCCTAGCATTGGTAAAGCTGAAGACGAGGTTTGAGAGTTTGAGGCCAGTCTCAGTTTCATAGCAAGATATCATGTCAAAACCAAATAAAAAGCCCCAATAGGTAGCTTTTTATCCTAACATCCATGATACTGACATCTGTTGCCAGTACCCCAATCCGATGCTGGGGTTAAGGACATGTATCACCATGCCTGGATAGAAAGTTATTAAATAAAAGCAACTCTGTGTATGTTACATACTGAAGCCTACTCTGAAAAAAAGCAAACACTTCTATTTCATCCTTTTATTTTAAAGCAACACTTTCAAATACTTTAGTTACATCTATGTGAACTTCATTCTTTGTGAAGTTTTTTTTTTCTGTTGTTTTTAGCACTACAACTCAAGACAAACCAGATGAAATCTTCGTACAGCAAAAATTGGATTCAGTGACAGACTGTAGTAAAGGTCTGTTACTTTAATTAAGCTGTCACATTTTCCCATATAGTTCATGTGATGTGTCCAGAGCTGGGGCGGCAGCTCAGTCACTAAGCTCTGGAGCCTAAGGACAGAGCTGGGTGTGGGCGGGGGAGGAGCTGGAGACTAGCCTTGGGAGGAGGGGACCCTGCAGGTGACTTTCCAGGCCCTGGGAAGAGACCAGGGAAGAGACCCGTTCAGAAATAGAGTGTTGGGGGGGAGGGGAGAAATAGAGTGTGCTTGAAGGCTCTCGAATGTAGATGACCTCTGACCTCCACACACATGTATTCACAGCTCTAACAGGAATGAAATGAAACAGGATGTGAATGAAATGACAGAGGCAGAAACCTAGTTTTAAAGTTCAGCATGATAAAACTGAAGGATTTGAGAGATCTGGGAGGAGTGTCACTTTAGGAATTGTTCTTTAATGAATGTTTTTGTTTGTGTTGTAGAACATGACTTAAATCAGAAGGTCGCTTCTACTTCAAATTCAGATCACCTTTCAGTGAAAGGAGTGACATCATTTGAAGTGAGCGAAGGTCAGACATCTCAGCCCCAGCATGACGTGCCATATTTCAGGTTTGTATGTTGTTACTGTAAAAATCTGCATTCGTGTCTAGACATTTCGTCCCAGATTTAAGTGTTTGATTTTATGCAAAAATGTTTTGTATGGTAAATGGGGAGAAACTGGCTTTGGATGTTTTTTCCACTTTGTAGGTGGGACGTAAATATGATTCTAAAGGTGCCCCATGTGCAAGGGAAGAGTCCTTCTGAAAGACCCCTGGGGGGGACTCAGGAAGGACACGACCCCAAAGACACTCCAGAGACCTCTTGCTGTAATAACATGAGTCAGGTCTTTATTTATCGAAGCTTCGGGTCGATATGTGCCTGATGCAGGAGGTAGGGGTATCGACCCTGAGACTTAATAGCTTAGGGTTTTTATATGCAAAGGCTTGGGGGAGGGAGAGGGTTGTGGGTAATCACACACAATTGATTGTTTCAAATGTCTGTAATGTGTGTAAGCAGATCCCAGGCAGAGGTTTGACAAATCTCACGAGATTAGTCTCTGGTCCCTGTGGCCTTGGGACCCAGTGTGAATGCTTATCTGAGCCAACAGACCATCTGGCTGAATTTAATTCGCAAGACCTTGGGACCTCTGGTGGCAGTTTCTCCAGAGGAGGCTAAGTCAGATACCACGGGAACAGATTCTCAGAATACTCAATTGACCTTTGTTTTCCTGTTCTGCGTCCCCTGTAACGGCCTTGGGTTAGCAAGTTAGCTGACCTGCAATTTTAACTTTTGTATTCCTGTTATACTATTTAACTAACTTAAAATTCCTCTTTCACTTCCCAGCCCTGTAGTTTGACCCTTCCTTGCAGGCGTTAATCATTTTTTTGTGAATATAAATACTGCATTTCAGGACAGATACCTTTTGTCTTGTAGTCCACCGTTTTGTTCTTCAGTGTTAAGTGTTGCTGACATTTTATTTTAGCACCTGAAGAACTTTCTCCTGCATCGGTACCTAATCCCGCCTGTCCTGCTCTGTTTCGACTTACTTGGTAGGACTCAGTTGGTGGCTATAAACAGGGTTCAGCTGTTCACACTTGACACCAAAGCTGAAAAGAGAAAAATGGAGAGGTGTCATTTGGCAGTGTCCCTCCTGGCATCCATGAAGTCCTGAATTAACTGACAAGGCCTGTAATCTCAGCACTCAGGAAGTAGAGCCAGGAGGATCAGGAATTTGGCTACATTACAAGTTCAAGACCAACTGGGGAAAAATGTGAGAGCTTGCCTTTTTTTCTTTTTTAAAAAAATCCTTTGAGAATTCCATACAATTTGTTTTCACCAAATTCACCCCAACATCTTCCTTTAATGCATTCCTGGTCTGCACCTACCTCCAATCCCCAGCAGGTCTTTTTTTTTTTTTTTTTTTTTTTTTTAATTCCTGGACTTCTCTTTTCGAGTGTAGGCTATCCACTGGAGCATGCTTGACCTACCAGGAGTCATTATCTTTAAAGAAAACTGACTTTTTCCATCCCCTGGAAGCCATCAACTGTCAGGGTTGAGACCACATCTGTCTTTAAAAATAAGAACAAATGCTGATTTCCAATTACATTCCCTCAAGCAGTGTCTGAAGGTTATTTTCCCAGGATAATACTTGCAGTATTTTAGAACTTTGTCAGTCTGCTAGAGGATATGCCATCTTCCTGTGGTACTTTTGTTGTTGGTTGGCTTGTAATATGTATGGTGTCATGCTTACACATATACTAGTGCACTGTGTGTGCCGGGTACCTGCAGAGGCCAGAAGAGGATTTTAGCTCACCTGGAAGTGGAATGAACAGATGACTGTGAGCTGCCTGTGGGTGCTGAGGACCAAACAGAGCTCCTAACTGATAAGTCATCTTCCATTGTTTTAATTATCTTTTCCTGAATATTTCATGTTAGTAGCCACTTGAATTGCTTCTACAGTGAAGGTTTTCAATCAAATGTAAGGGCATCTAGAGGTGTACCCTAGTCTATGGTGCTGCTGAGTCCCTGCGGTAACAGCTTATCTCCCGAGTGCTAGGCTTAAGGTGTGCACCACCACTGTCCGGCCTTTTCATTTGTTTTTAAGACAGTCTCAAGTAGCCCAGACTCGGTGAGACAGGAGATAGGTGATCCTGCGTGAGCCTTCTCACTTATAGGGTTTTAGACATTTATCTACCATCCTAAACCAGTGTTCGTTTTCATGACTGGTTTCTTTCACTTAGCATGGTATCCTTAAGATTGATCTGTAATGTTAGAATTTCTTTCCTCTTTTGAGTTGTCATCTCAGTATGTAGTCCTAACTGGCATGTGCTTTAGTTTGTAGACCAGACTGGTTTCCGACTCATATGTGTTCCTGTTGAACCTGAGAAGTGCTGAGATTACAGACATAAACCCTGTGCTCAGTTTTCCTTTTTCATGGTTGAATAGTACTGGGGGTGGGAGACTGGGCTGGAGAGATAGCTCAGCCATTAAAGGGTACTTGCTATTTTTCAGAGCAGTTTGGTTCCCAGCACCCATATGGCAGCCACCATGCTGTCATTTTCAGGGAATTCAGTACCCTCTTCTGTTCTCCAAGGGCAAAGCATTCATACATATAAAAGTAATTAAATCTTAAGTACTACTTCATATGAATTACATTTTGCTTCTTCATATATCTGTCATTTATGTTTCTGTTTGTTTTGCTTTTGTTCTTGTTTGTGATGGTGTCATGCTATGTTCTCCTGACTGGCTTAAAATTTACTATACAAGTTCTGAACCAGTTCTGATTGACTCAGGGCTCCCCCTGACAGTCTCCAATGTAGATTGATCTTCTGTCTCTGAATCAGGTGTCACCACACCCAGCTGTCATGACATTTGGCTTATTTCCACCTTTTATTGATTAGAATTTCTGTGAACATGAGTTTGCCTTTGGGATTTTGCTTTCAGTTCTTTGCATACCTAGATGTGGGATTGCTGGATCATGTTAGATTTTTCTGCACTCTGGGATGTCTGTATAAACACAGATTTAACTCCTCGTAGGCCTAGGTCTCTCAGCCTTGAAAGTATTTGCATTTTAAATTATATACTTCTTATTTGTGGTCCCTTTTGAACATTGTTGGGTGTTTGGGGCATCTCTATCCTATAGTGACAATCAAAAATGTCTTCAGCCAGACTCAGTGACATACACCTTTTGTCTTAGCAGAAGGGAGGAGAATCTTTGAATTCAAGATCTGTTAGGGCTCTATCATGAGTCCTTATCTTTAAAAAAAAAAAAAGTCTCTAGAGCTGGTCAGTGATGGCACTCACCTGTAATCCCGGCACTGGTGAGGCAGAGGCAGGCAGACCTCTGAGTTTGAGATCAGCTTGGTCTACATATTGAGTTCCGGGACAGCCAGGCCTACACAGAAAAACAACAACAAAAAGGTCTCTAGACATCAAATGTTGACTATGCGCAAAACTGACTGGAATCACAGCATCTAATCACCAGCCTTTGTAGTAAAGGCCTCACCTTTACTAGAGCTAGTGGGGTTGTTTGTTCTTGTTCGCTTTTTTGACCCAGGGTCTTGCTTTGTGGTCGTGGCTGGCTGGCACACACTGTATGACCCATGCTGGCCTTTCACTTACAGAGCTCCTCCTACCTCGTCTCTTCAAGTGCTAGGACTGCAGGGGTGCACTTTATGGTGAACTTTAACCATAGACCTCACAGGGTATCTCCAGTGTGCTTCTGACACTCGACTTGTCCTTAGTTCCATAAAGAACTGTGTGTGAGTATGAAATACACACCAAAGTTGTTGGACTCTAGTCAGCCTCTGAACAGAGAACAGAACAAATAAGGAATGATAGCTTGGAAGTGGGTCTTGGTGTCATTCATCCAATGTGAGTTTTAGATAGAGAGGAATGGACATACACGAGGTATATAATGACAGGAAATTTGTCTTTCATGAGTTTTAATATAGTTCATTAAATCCTTACACATAGCAGGGCGGTGGTGGCGCACGCCTTTTATCCCAGCATTTGGGAGGCAGAGGCAGGTGGATTTCTGAGTTTGAGGCCAGCCTGGTCTACAGAGTGAGTTCCAGGACAGCCAGGACTATACAGAGAAACCCTGTCTCGAAAAACAAAAAACAAAAACAAAACAAAATAAAAAAAATTATTACACATAATGTCTCCAAAATTACTATTGTCATTATTTTTTTACACCTGATTTTTTTTTTTTAAAAAAAAAATCTTTGGCTTGGTTTGCTTTTTGAGACAGGGTTTTTCTGTAGCCCTGACTGTTCTGGAACTCACTTTGTAAACCAGGCTGGCCTCGAACTCAGAGATCCAGCAGCATCTGCATCCCAAGTACTGGGATGAATGGTATACACCACCACCACCTGGCATACCTGTGTTTTAAACCGTTCTAGTCTTATGTATTATGTCAAAATGGTAAGATTGAATTAAGATGGGCAGCACTCGAACACTAACATGTAAATTATAATTTTAGAAATATCCTCCAATCAGAAACTGACAGACTAACCTCACGCTGTCTGGAGTGGGAGAAGAAGCTGGAACTGGACATTCCGGATGAAGGTAAGAAAAAGTCATCTTAGTTCTGTTTCTTTTGTTGCTTTCATTCATTGTATCGGTTTCGGTTGTAGAAGGGCTCCCTCAGCACAGGCGCCATGGTCTAGAGCTCACTCTGTACTTCAACCTTGAACTTCTGGTCATCCTTTTCACCTCCCAAGGGCTGGCTTACAGGTGTGTCCAAACACACCTGACCACAAAAGTGGTTATGTTGTGTACGAGGGGTATGTGTGTGTGTGTGTGTGTGTGTGTGTGTGTGTGTGTGTGTGTATTTTGGTCTTTTTTTGTAGTGGTGGTAATAGAGATTCAACACAGGATTTTGTATGTGCTGAGAAAATACTCGACCATCAAGCCATATCCACAGCCCTTATTTCTTTTCATTTCAAAATCAAAACTCTAGTGTTGTCCAACTTTTTAGTTTCAGTATTATTGACAATTCCAGGAGCTGTTTAGCATATGTACCCTAATATTTCTATGCTAGAGAACTACACAACCTTTATATATTTTGTTTTTTTAATGTGAACTTATATATAGTGGTGTTATCTGGTATCCCTTTAATCTTAGCGTTCAGGAGGCAGAGGCAGGTGTATCTTGAGTTCAAGGCCAGCCTGGTCTACAGAGCAAGTTCCAGGACAGCCAGGGCTACACAGAAGAACCCTGTCTCAAAAAAACAATAACAAAATAAGAAAAACATATATATTTGTGTGTGTGTGTGTGTGTGTGTGTGTGTGTGTGTTCTGAATTATAATTATGTAAATCAGTATGAAAACAAATTTTGGCAAAGGTCCTTTAGTCCCATTATTTGGGGAAGCTGTTTATAAAAAGTTACCAGTACAAGGTTCTTGGATACTTATGTGCCTTGGCTGTGTGAGGTTGAAGTCTCATAAATACAAGTAGAGGGAATTATCTTCACTGGGAAGCTGTATATGGTTGAGGTGCACATTGCTAATTGTTACTGCTTCTTGAAGCAAGGAACTTGTGCTCAGTATTTATGGCTAAGTTGTTTTGGGTAGTCATTTTTGTTTTGCTGTAAGAATTTGATTCTGTGAGCTCTAGGGTATTGAGGTTAAGTCTTAGTTGTCTGGCTTGCTATAAAGGCCTCTTTTTATTTTACTTCTTTAGCTAAAGATCTTATCCGCACAGCAGTTGGTCAAACAAGACTCCTTATTAAGGAGAGGTTCAGACAGTTTGAAGGACTGGTGGACAATTGTGAATATAAACGAGGCGAGAAGGAGACGACCTGCACAGATCTGGATGGATTCTGGGATATGGTTAGTTTTCAGGTATGTGTCAGGTGTGCTGTCCACATTTGCTTGTAACATCAGTAAATTGGAAAGATAGTAGTTCAGCTACTTAGAATGTCAGGAGTAGCTATCAGGAGGCCCCATGTTGTCAGAGTCTGTGATAATGGTCCATGTGAGGAATGAGCTGGTGCAGTTACTAATTCCTGTTGTGTGCCAGGCATTGTAGTTAGAGATTACCAAAAGGCAGGAGTAGAGCATGGCATGGTGGCACACATGGTGCCTAATCCCAAGCAAACACAGGTGGGTCTGTGAGTTCGAGGCCAGCCTGGTTTACAATTCCAGACAGCCGAGGCCATACAGAGAAACACAGAGAATCTGACTCCCTCTTAACAGCACCCATACTCACATACAACACTCAGGTACACACATATAACATATACACATAAAATAAAATCAATCTTGAAGGAAAGAAAACAGAACAGGCAGGTCAGTTCTGTGTGGCAGCATACACCTTTAGTCCCATCTCCCTGGGAAACTAAGTCTATAGAATTTGCATTCAGAATTGTATTCAGAATTACAAACAATATACAGGTGATTTCTACTGTACAGAAGGATATACATAGGTTATGTGCAAGTGGCAGGGAGTCTCACTGGTGTGTGTGGTGCTGAGGACCTGACCTGGGGCTTCCCCTCTGCCAGGCAGGCACTGCCATTAAATTGTACCTACTTCTCTGGATTTGGAATTTGTTGGGTTTTCTCTCCACCCCTTCCTCACTTCCCCTCTCTCTCCATCCCCTTCCTTAAAAAATGAGAAAGCAAGCATGAAAATGAACAACCCAATTTAAAAATTTGGAAAGAAGGCCTGAATTGGATGCCTTAGCACAGAACAGAAGCAGATGGCGACTAGTGAAATATGGTAAGCTTCTGAAGTGAAGCTCGGCACCGCTTGCCAATTAGCAAGTAAAGCATAAGGTAGCAGTTACGCAGACAGTCTGGGAGAGTTGTCCATATATGACATCCTTTATGCAGGGCTTAAAGGTTTCTAGACCAAATATGTCAGCAGTTTTACTATAAAGGTTCTTAATTTGAACCAGGCGTGGTGGTGCACACCTTTGATCCCAGCGCTCAGGAGGCAGAGGCAAGCAGTTCAAAGTCAGTGGGGTCTAGAGATAAGAGTTCCAGGATAGCCAAGATTGTACTGAGAAGGCTGCACAGAGAAACCTTTCAAAACAAAAATCTTGAACACACAATTTACAGTGACTTAAACTGAATAACCCCCAGCAATTGGGAGGTAGAGGCTGAAAGATCAGGAGTTCCAAGTATTTTCTTGGACTATATAGCAAGTTGTGGGTCATCCTGGGTTGATGTGAGTCTCTCTTTCTCCCTCCCTCCCTCCCTCCCTCCCTCCCTCCCTCCCTCCCTCCCTCTCTGTCTCTCACGCACATGCACAGACCACCACCCTATACATATATCCGCACACAGGATTTTAAGTTTTATAACTTACCAGTTCTGGATCGCCATTATCTGATATTTGACATGGTCATTCATTTTAGACTCCTAAAGTAGCCATTTTTACATAGCATTAATTGGATGAACTCCGGCTTTTATTACCAGGTCGATGATGTAAACGGAAAGTTCAACAACCTGATCAAACTTGAGGAGTCTGGATGGAAAGACAATAATCCAAGCAAAAAAGTCCTCCGGGTAGGTTTGTGCATTCCTACCCAAGTTTCTAGCACAGAGTCGTCTCTGATTTTTGTGTTTAAAGATATATTTATTTCTGTGGGTGGGCGGGGTGGTCTGGCTGTGCCGTGAGGTGCAGACGAGGATCAGAGGACAAGTTTGAGGCATTGCTTCTTCACTTCTACCGTGTAAACTTTGACTACTCACAAAATTTCATATATTGCTTATTACCTTCTGATTGCCTTGTGGGCAGGGGAGCAAGGATATAATCAACACAAAATGTAAGACGTTTCCTTCCAAAGAGAAGAAGGTAACAGATGAGTGGTGGACTTGGGGCGCCTAGGTGACTTATGTTCCTAGACAGTGGGCAGATAGGCATGTGTTTGTTTTATCCTGAGAGCGGGACCTGTATCGAGATGTGTGGTGTAGTAGCTTTCTATGCGCTTATGAGAGGCTAGGCAGAATGATTACCATGAGTTCAGGGCCAGCGTGGGCTATATAGCAAGTATCAGGACAGCAAGGACTATATATAGCAAGACTGTGTTGTACAAAACCAGAACAAATCTCTTATGTCTATGTATTTGCTTGTAATTGCAATAGCAGTAGATAATTTGTGTTTTGTTAATGCTGAGCTCTAGAGAGTCACATGTTAACTTTCTAGCAGTCCAATTAGCTGAGCGCTATACTCATAGTTTATGGTTGAAAATTTCAAAACTCCATAGATTAAATCATTCGCTCAAGGCTTCCATCCCAGGGTTGATTTCCGAGCCCATGCTCTTAGTGGGCAGACCACACCCCCTTACTGTTTGCATGCTTCTTGTGGGACACACTGTGGGATGACAGATGTTATGTATTTCTTCATTATGCTTATGAGGTTTTCCATTTTTCCTGTAAAACATGCCTTGTTAATCTAATAAGAATCCACTTAGGGGGGCTTAAGAGCATGTGCTGCTCTTTCTTGCATACGGAGAGTAGCTTGCAGGGGCCTGTAACTCCAGCTCTAGGGCCTTGATGCTCTCCTCTGAACTCTGGGGGGGCGCCTGCACTTATGCACATTCTCACACACAATTTAAGACCTTTTTAAAGTCCATCTTACTTATGCCTCAAATGGATGTTTATCAAACCAAATGGTTAGTTTTCTTCTGATTTTAGAAGTACACTTATACTGTGTTATGCAAACAAAGCTGTTCTGCATTCTGTCTCAGTAAAGAAACTTTATTATTTCCTCTCAGTACAAAGATCTGAGAGAAATGGTTAGATCGTTGAACACATTTTAAATCGTCTGTAATAGTAAAGGATGTTATTCATAAGAGGGGCTAGTATAACGATACTTGTTTTTTGGGATGGGTCTTACTAAGTATCCCAGCCAGAATTCAAACATAGAATCTGTTGGGGTCCAGGAATCATCCCATACCACACAAATACCGATCTCAGTTAAACAGATACGGTTTATTGAACGCATACTCCAAGACTGACCAACCAGGGCAATGGCTCAGAACTGCACTGGACATTGCTCAGGGCCGGCTTATAAAGGCTAAAACCACAATGAGCTCATATACAGATCCAGAAGTGCTGCCTGGTGGTTGGCCCTAACTCAAGCTATTTTAAGCATAACAGTTCATATTGATCTTTAATTTGATGGGTCCTACGTGAAGCTTATAGTTTTGGAATTTCAGATTAACAAACTTCATAACATTCAGAACATGACAGGTTACGTGGGAAGCATGACCCTCATCTGAGTCAAGTTATTTTCTGTATCAATTGCTGTCAGGCATATTATAGCAACAATATGAAATAGCTGAGGGGGCATGGAACAAAATGGCTACAGCTATGCTGGGGGTGCAGGAGCAGGCTTCAACAGACTCCTCCTGCCTCAACTTCCAGGATGCTGGGATTACAGGCTTGCACTGCTCCTTCTGACTTATTGTGGTTTTTTTTTTTTTTGGATGTTTTATTTACATTTCATATGTTGTCCCCTTACCCCACCCCCCCACCCACCCAGGAACCCCCTATCCCCTCACCCCTCCTCCTGCTTCTCTGCGGATGTAACCCCTACCTACCCCCCCACTCCCACCTCCCCCCACCCTCAAATTCCCACCCCCTGGGGCGTCCAGCCTTCATGAGGCCAAGGATCTCTTCTCCCACCTATGCCCAGCAGGGCCCTCCGCTCTTACATATACAGCTGAAGCCATGGGTCCCTCCCTAAGTGCTCCCAGGCTGGTTGTTTAGACCCTGGGAGCTCTGGTTGGTTGGTATTGTTGCTCTCCTCATGGGGCCACAAACCCTTTCAGCTCCTTCAGTCTTCTCTCTAACTCCTCCATTGGGAACCCCATTATCAGTTCAATGGCTAGTTGTGAGCAGCTGCCTCTGAATATGTCAGACTCTTGCAGACCTCTGAGGAGACATCTATATCAGGCTCTTATCAGCATGCACTTCCTGACTTCCACATCAGCATCTACCTTTGGTGAATGCACATGGGATGGATACTCAGGTGGAATGGTCTCCAGACGGCTCCTCCTTCAGTTTCTGTCCCTCACTTTGTCTCCATATTTGCTCCCTTGAGTATTTTTTTTGTTGCTCCTTCTGAGAAGGACCGAATCACCCCCACTTGGTCTTCCTTCTTCATGAGCTTCATGTGGCCTGTGAGTTGAATCTTGGACATTTCAAGGTTCTGGGCTAATATCCAATCATCAGTGAGTGTATATACCATGTGTGTTCTTTTGTGATTGGCTTACCTCACTCAGGATGATAATTTCTAGTTCCATCCATTTACCTAGGAAATTCTCGAATTCATTGTTTTTAATAGCTGAGTAATACTCCATTGGTATTTCTTAATTGAGTGTTTAGCTCTCAAAATAATTTATCAGTGGCTCTATCACATAAGAATTGTAATTCTGCCTGTGACCACCAGATGTCCCTCCTACATTATTTAGTTCTACAGTTTGGTTGGCTGGGGAGAACATTTTGAAACCTCAAAGCCCTCCTACCCCCAGTGACACACCTCCTCCAACAAAGGCATACCTACTTCAGCAGGGCCACCTCTACTTCTGTCCTAGCAGTTCTCGTGACTGAGGACTAGCCATTCCAACGCATGAGCCTATGAGGGTTGTTTGATCCACACGACACAAGGTGATACTCACTGGTGGGGCGATGCCCCCTTTAATATCAGCTGGTCCTGAGGCTGAGATGGATGTGCATTCAAGCCAGCAGGGACAACATAGTTAAAGGGGCTACAGACTTACTTCAGTGGAAGAAAGATTTCCTGTTATGTACAGGTCTCTGGGGTCAGTCCTTAGTACCACAGGAATGAGAGAAGGTGGTAATGAACACACCTTTAATTATGGTTTCTCCTTGCAGAAAAAAATTGTGCCTGGTAGAACTGGCAAAGCAAAACAGGATGATGATGGGCGAGCAGCAGCTAGGAGTCGTCTCGCCGCCATAAAGAACACAATGAAAGACAGGCTGCGACAGGAAGCCCAAGCCCACACGGCAGCTCCAGAGACACCAAAGGAAGTTGACAAAATAGTGTTTGATGCTGGGTTTTTCAGAATCGAGAGTCCTGTTAAGTCGTTCTCAGGTTTGTAGTTTTGCTGAGACTTAAGGATTTGGGCCTAGTGAGGGCTTGAGTAAAAGGAGAAAGTGACTTTCACATGAAAAGACCCTGTGCGCTGACTTCTAGAGGTCGGCTCCTGGCTGGCAAGTCCACATGCGCAGCACGTTCTGAGAGGCATGCTCATACTTGTGAGTCATTTATCTTTTAAGATCCTGTTCATGTTTTCCAAGTGATGTTATAGCTGCTGCTGCCATGCAGTCCCAGTCTGTGTGTGAGGTTCGCTGCCAAGCTAGGTTAGGGTTACAATGCAGAGGAAGCAGACCTGAGCTATCACGCTTCCTTCAGCTGTGCGGGAGACTGCAGCCCCTCTGATGGAGTGGGGGAACTGAGCTGCTGCATTTGAGATCCTTGGGCTCAAACTCAGCTTGACATGTGTTGGGCAAGCGCTTGTCCCTCCAGATACAGCCTTTCTTTCTGAAAGCCTCTCTTTTTAGACAAGGGTTGGCTAAGTTTCCCAGGCTGTCCTAGGACTCACACAGGCCTGAAACTTGCTGTGGTCCTGCTGCCTGAGCCTCTGGAGGGTCTCTGCACATCACTGTGTTCAAATGTTTTCCTGTACACTGCACACTCGAGGTCATTCTCTTACCTCCAACTAGGACCAGTTCTGGGGTTGGAACAGTTTATTAGTAAATACTTGCTTGTTCCCTTGTTCCCATGACTAACCTGTGTTTCAGCTGTTTGATAACCATTGACAGCAGGATACAGCCAATGTCTCAACTTTACCAGGAAATACTCTGCTGTGTGTGCTAAATGACCAAAGGAACTTGTTAAGAGACTAGGTTTTCTCTCCCTCTCCCTCTCCCTC